ATCAACTACGATGGTTTACCATGTTTGACCATCAACTACCATGATTGACCATCAACTACCATGATTGACCATCAACTACCATGGTTTACCATGATTGACAATCAACTACCATGGTTTACCATGTTTGACCACCAACTACCATGATTGACCATCAACTACCAAGGTTTACCATGTTTGACCATCAACTACCATGATTGACCATCAACTACCATGGTTTACCATGATTGACCATCAATTACCATGGTTTACCATGATTGACAATCAACTACCATGGTTTACCATGTTTGACCATCAACTACCATGATTGACCATCAACTACCATGATCAACCATCAACTACCATGATTGACCATCAACTACCATGGTTTACCATGATAGACCATCAACTACCGTGATTGACCATCAACTACCATGGTTGATTGCATTTTGTTAATTGAGACCTGACCATGATAGTTGATGGTCAGTGAAAATGGTTGAAATCATTTAGTTAAATGGGACTTGAGCATACTCAGTGACAAAGTCGTTAATGGTCAATGGTCAACCAGATCTTTTTTAATATGATTTGCCTATGTTCAGTGACTGTGGTAGTTAGTGGTCTTTGGTCAGTCGTATTATTCCACTAGTTCATTTGACTAGCATTATAATTTATTTGATGGTAATTCCCTTACAGACATAACACATGTATTTGTATCTCCATTTCAATTACACTTTTGATCTTATTGAGGATATTTTAAGTTGTAGTGAAAACAATTATAAATATTTCATAATTTATTTTTCAAAACACAAACTGTTGTGTATAAAATGTTGTCATCTACAATGTTTCAATATGAGGTGATACTGACTAACATAAATTTGCTGTGATACAACTCGTTTGTGCAAATCACTGGCACAGACAATCAGACCTTGAACATTATCTTGTTATAGTTTTTTGTAATTTTGTATTTTATTTTATAAACAAAATAAATGAAAAAGACAAATCTGGATTCACAACATTTTCATTCATGTCTCAAGTCAAGTGCCTATAGTCACATAGAATTTTAATTTTTTCTCAAAGACTCAAGTAATTACTCACTCAACTTTATTTGGAGGATTCCATTTTTACTCAGTCCTGTCAGAGGAAACACTGGTCCCTATCATGTTGTGATATTTGATGAAGAAATTGTTTGGAATATAACTTTGTGTCTCATTTCTGAGCCAAAGATATATATATATATTTTAAAATGTAAATTAGGCTTGACCCTGGCAACCATCAACTACTATAGTTGACCACAGTTTAGAAAAGATATTTTAACTGTCAGTTTGTGGCTTTGACCATGCTAAGGACCATTTCATTTGATGGTTGACCATCAAATATCTTGGTGTCCATGGTCAAAATTGGCAAACCATGGTCATTATGTTGCCTGTGTAATTCTGTATCCCGGAAAAACCTAATAAAGTCATATTGTTTTTATTACAGGTTTTTTACAGCAATGTGCAATGGTGGCGTTGGATTAACAGGTTTTATCTTGGCCACTGAAACTATTGGACCAAAGTATAGAGCATTGGCTGGAACTTTGGTCCAAGTACAGTTTGCATTAGGCATTGTGGTGAGAGAAATTTTATCTGGGTCATCCTAGCGAGGGTCACTCTGGGTCACTCCTGCAGGCTTTATTCTGGGTCATCCTAATGAGGGTCACTCTGGGTCACTCCTGCAGGCTTTATTCTGGGTCATCCTAATGAGGGTCACTCTGGGTCACTCCTGCAGGCTTTATTCTGGGTCATCCTAATGAGGGTCACTCTGGGTCACTCCTGCAGGCTTTATTCTGGGTCATCCTAATGAGGGTCACTCTGGGTCACTCCTGCAGGCTTTATTCTGGGTCATCCTAATGAGGGTCACTGTAAATCATATTACCTGTATTATGAAGTTAATGTATTTATACAATGATTGTATCTATCTGTACATTAATACCTCTGACAGCTGGGCTGATTTGTGATACACAATACATAATCACTTGAATACCACCATTTTTT